AACGCAGATACCATAGTTGTAGCCTGTCTTCCAATACCAGTCTCCTTAATGACAAAGAACAGCAGTATCCACCTTATCTGGACTCACTGGCTGCATGAGTGATGCAGGGACAGTCCACAGGCAAGATGTGCAGTGCTAGATCTGGATCACAGAGCCACGTTATCTGGCCCAGAGAGCAGGAATTTGTCAGAAGCAATGTTAACTATGGCAGTTCCTAGCCACCCCTCCTGTCACCACCACATTTCTGGCCCTGAAAGCAGTCACAGCAATTAATGCTGCCAATACTCCTGTCACAGGGTGGGGACCCAGGAGCGGCCGTGATCTCTGCCGGCGCCCCCTACTATGCCAAGTTGTCTATTAAGCACCCTCTGTTATCTCACCCGCCACGTCTTTTATGGTGAAAGTATTGTAAGGAAGGCTGCCTTTCCTTTACCCCTTGGCCACGGTGCTCTTGTGCACCCAGCCTTATGGGCTGTGCGTGGCTCCTACCACCCCTTATACCACACCCCAAGCCTCTCTGGTGTACCAGACGTTGTTAAGTCTATTGTCTTCTCTTAGTGGCCCTCTCCGGGGCTTCTACCTGTACACTCGCCCTCTCCGGGGCTTTTACTCTCATGCGCCCTCCCTGGGGCTTATTCCCATATGCCCTCCCTGGGGCTCTACTCGCGCTCCCTCCCTCACTGGGGCCTGTCTCCGCGCTCTCGCAGCCCACACTGGGGCCTGTCTTCCGTGCTCTCGCAGCCCGCACCAGGGCCTGTCTTGTCTATGCACCCTTTCTGGGCTTCCAATCTGTGTGCCCTCCCTGGGGCTTCTCCCGCGCTTGCCCTCCCTGGGGCTTCTCCTGTGCTCCTGCCCGCACTTGGCCTAGCCTTGTGATTCCCGCCCGCACTGGGGCTCCTTGCCTCACGATCTCCCGCCCACACTGGGGCTCCTTGCCTCGCGAGTTCCGCAAATGAGGCTCAGGTGGCTGTAGCCATGCCTGGCCTCCAGACCCCTTTTCAGGTCCTGCGCCCCACTGGGGCTTCCCACAATCGGGGCTCAGGCGGCCTTGGCCTTACCTGGCCCCCAGACCCCCCTTCCGGGTCCTACGCCCCACTGGGGCTTTCTTGTCTGCGCCCACACTGGGCTCCTCCCAATGCTGCCCACACTGGGGCCAGGGTCGGGACACCCCAAAATGCAGTGCCCTCTCCAGCGCCAGGAACCCCCTCCACTACTGGGGAGCTCCCACAAGGCCTCCTCCAACCCCTACAGCCTCACCCGGTCCTCCGGTCTTACACAACAACGAAACAGAAAACTCACACTCCTGTGTTCCAACATAAATTCCAAGCCAAACTGGCTAACCTTCTTTCATATCCCTACTAGGGTTTCCTCCACCTAGTATCCTCATGCAGAAACGGCTCAGACCATCAGGCTGCTCTGCTCTGCTCTGCTCTGCTTGCTCCAACAGAGCTCCACCTTCCTCAGCTGCCAGAGGGGAACTGACCTTCTGGCCTCAGCCTGGCTATTTATAAAGGCCAGGCCCTGCCCCCTTCCGGTCAGCTGACCAGACTGGTTGCCCCAGCAACCCGCACCTGTGCTGCCCTGGTGACTGGCAGCTGAGCCTATCTTACTGCTTGTCAGTAGCAGGCACCTTAGTGCCCTGCTACAACTCCCCATACTGCCAAATTTCACAGGCCAGATGACATGCTCCTAAGCCATATTCTTGATCGCTACTAGCATACAGAGAAGTACAATCACTTTCTACCCCTCTGTCAGTACATCCCAAAGTTAATTCCTTTTTGTTGAAGCATTGCATTAGAAACCTATATATAGCTGCTGGTACGCAATTACCCACTAAAAGCTTCTTAAAGGCATTGCTTTCCAGATACAGTCCCCATTCCATAGGTCTGGCCTGTATATTATTTGTCCTCAAATTAATGACTTGGCATTTGGCTGTATTAAAACAGTTTCTGGAATGGGCCCAGCTTACCAAAGTGATTTAGATCTCTCTGTAGTAGTATTATTTACTACTCTAACAATTCTATGAGCAACAGTTTTATATCAGCTTCCAGATCTCAATAAAAATACTACATACCTGGACCTGATTATGTTGGTACCCTTCCCACCCTCAGACGCAGCCCAATCAATAATGATTTTCCACTGACAACTACTTTTTGAGATTTATCAGTTTGCTAGTTCTTAAGTAGTATAATCTTCTTTTATTGATACTGTATAGTGATAATTTTAATCAAAATGCTGTGTAGTACTGAATTTACTACCTCACAACAGTTTAAGTATATAACAGATCCAGAGTTAACTTTATCAGCAAGCTTACTATCCAAACCAAAAAATAAAATCAAGTTTGCTTAACAAAGCCTGTTTTCTTATAACAGTGGGATTGGAATTGGTTATATTTCCATCCTTTAGGTTTTTATTGGTCAAATCCCATACCATATTTTCTATTTTTTGCCTAAGACCAATGACAGATTAATCAATCTATAAGTATGTAGAGTCATCCTACCTGCCTTTTGTGAATATCAGCAGAATTTGGGTACTAATTCAGTTGTCTGAAATTTCCCTACAAATTCCAATCTTTATTAAAAATTAACATTGCTAGGTGAGAGATCACCTCAGCCCTAAAATATGCAAGTCTAGATCCATCATTTAATTTCATACAACTCTAGCAGGACCAGAATGATGAGCTTTTATCTTTTTTTTTTGTATTCTGCTAAAATCTATGAAGTGGCTCAAATTCTTCTCTTCCCTGTGCTATGGGGAAAACAATGCTATTCATGCACATGATACCTGTAGCCAAACAGGAAACAAGAGTGACTGACGGCTGAATAAACTCCTTTTCTTTAATAGCATCTTTTTTCCAAACAATATTTTCAAAATATTTCTGTTTCATATGCACTCTTTTTAGGGAAAAAAGCAGTTTGACACTTAGAATCAGAGGATAGCATACCTAGGTAGACTAGACACCTAAGTAAGCAGCAACACTTATTTAAGCATACTTGCACTTGGGCCATGTACAGGCATTACAGTTCTACCAAGAGAATTTCCATTTGCCCAGTATAAACTACAAGCATACAAACATTCCTTTAATTTTTCCTGGGGAAATATGTCCCCTCTGGGAAAAATCTTCCAGGTCAGCACCTGGAAGATCGTTTTGCAAGAGGAACTAAGGTAGTGATGGTGGTGGCCAGGTACTGGACCCAGGAACAGTCTTCCCAAACCCTCTTACCCAGCCCCACTGGCTTACCCTTGCCACGTGTACTGAGTGACAAGGGCAGCAATCTCAAAGCTAACAGGGCTGGAAACTGGATTTAGGTAGGCTTTCCTGCACCCAAAATCTTTAAATGCCACATGTGCCACCCAGGTCCTTAAATGCCATGGGGACAGAAGTCAGGGCCAGGAAAACAGCAAGACAATGTTTCCCATGGTTCATCAGATCAGGGACTGCCCGGTCGGAGGAATGGGTAAGGGGCTCTGCCTTGCTGTTCCACTCCCCACCTATTTGTGGCCTTGATCTCTGCAGTTGCAACCTCCCTTCATTTTCTGAAGACAACAGAAGGACAAACAAGTAAACCAGCTAGCAGAAACACAAAGCTTCCAGACAAGGTAAACTGTAAGTCTCAGCAACAGATTTGAAAGACACACTGGAGCAGATGATACAGAAAAAAGTGAAGCAGAACGAAACACCAAATCAATATGAAAGGAAGGAAAAACTCAGTTTTCATCCTTCAGTAGTTATTGCCTGGTCCTGCAACATAGTATAAGTCTGGCATTCTTGTCAGAAAAGAAAAATCAGGACGCAGCATTAATGGAAAAGATACTCATCAAGTAGCTTAACATAAATAAAGAAATAGAGTCTAATGATACTAGAATATCACACATACTAGGGTTGTGCAAAACGGGCCGTATTCCATTCAGATTCAGGTTGATTTGGGGGACAGTGATTTGATTCACTGATTCGGGTCTCTGTCCCTGATTCAATTTGGCCGAATCTGAAGATATGATGATGATTCAGAGAATCGGTGATTCGGCCATAGACACAGCTTTAAATGTTTTTTTCTACAACCTTGAGGTACCAGGCACAGTTCATGAATGATGAAATGGTGGAGCAGATGGAGCATCCCACAGGAGCGTGGGAGGGCCCCCCCATACGCTCGGTGGTGGACCCAGAAGTGGATTGGAAGTACTTCCAGTCCATTTCCGGGTCTGCCACTGAGCTGGGGGGCAGAGTCCCCCATGCACTCCGCAGTGGACCCAGAAGTGGATTGGAAGTGCTTCTGGTCCACTTTCAGGTCTGCTACCTAGTGTGCTGGTGACCCCCTTGCGCTCCCGTGGGACGCTCCATCCACCCCACCATTTCGGCATTCACAAGCCTCCTGGTACCTTGAGGTATGTAGAGAAAACATTTAAAGCTGTGTCAATGTCTGAATCATCAAATCTCTCCAAATTGATTTGGAGGGTTCTGATTCAATTTGGAGAGATTAAAGGGTTTCCTGATTCAATTCAGATTTGCAGATTTGGCTGCCAAATCAAATCAGTGACTGAAGCTTTGTGGAGCCCTAACAAATACAGTAATGTATTAAATAGGGACTGGCTACATCATTCTCAGTCCCTATTTAATCTCTACTGGTTCCCAATTTACAAATGCAATTCATGATCAGTCTAATGGAAAATTTTAAATCTTTACAAAACATTGCCTCATTCTGCCTCTGTCCTACAAACCTTTACACTCTTTGCACTATTATATGGAAAAAAGCCTCCAGGACAGGAGACTTACTGAGAGACTCTGTCTATTAAATTCCTCATGCTCACATTTCATTTTCACTACATTCACTATTCAGCTTTAAATTCTACCATTAACTTTATTATCAGTAGGTCCTTGTTCTTATTCTACGTATCATTTTTGTTTTACTATAACACATGCTTTTCTTAACAAAGTGTATTATAAAAACAGATAATAATTATAAGTTATCATTGTGTTTGAATAAAGACAGGTTGTTCCTTACTAAAGTATGTGGTAGACATCATCAGATCTTCCTTTGCGTAATCTTAGTGTCCAAGCACCTGGATTTGCTTTCAGCTGGAAATATCCCTGTAATGCAAGAGAAAATTCTAGCAGTCTGGTTCTACCAAAATTTAAAAGCATTCTCCTTCATATGTAAACATGGACCATCTAGCAATCAGCCCCATAGTCAAGGTTACTATCTGTTGCCTACTAGAATATTGGTCCTGAAACCAATATTACAATAATGCCATCAAGTGCTTCCTCCCTGTAGGTTCAGATTCATATTTCCTAGTGATAAGGACATTTGTACTTACCTGGATATGAAGAACCTCTACTAAGAACATGGTGTAACATTATGCAGTGTAGCAGAAGCAAGTTGGTCTTTTTGTACCCTACTGATATAGAGTTACATTTTTCAAAAACAACATTTAAAAGTTTGCCCCTTTCCATTTCCTCTGATATCGCAGGTAAATAATCCAGTTACCAAACGTAATTTTCAGTTCAGTTCTCCTCTTCTCCCTCAGCCTCCTTTCATGCTCTCTAGTAAATAAGTTATTAGTGACTACTCTCAAGAAAATAGGAACAGCATGGTGTAATTATAACAACTGTAACAGAATACTGTAACAAATGTGTAAGTTTCCAGGTTTGGAAGATTCTTTGAAGAAATTATTTTCAGTTAGAAAGAAATTTCCTATCTAGCTCAACTCCTAATATGGAATAATGGGGAATATCTAATACACTGTGAAACCCAGAGGAAGTAGGCCCCTGAAAGCAAAGGAGCAATAGTAGATGTGACTCTAAATGACTAAACTCTGAGGACTGAATATACTGTGAAAATCTGTGGAAGTGCTATATTAAATTTGCTAATGTTGGCTGAATAAGCAAAGGATGGCAGAAATGGGAATTTCTCTTCAAGAAAGGAAGATTCTTGTCATGCGGTGCTGCTGTGGTCAGTACAAAATGAACTTTATTCATTAAGGAACATGTAGGTTCTGTACTAAAACTGAAAAGCAACCAATGAGAAAAAAAACAGCTTGAGGATCCAAAAAGCATAGTCAGGTGTTTGTTTGTTTGTTCTGTTTTTTATATTCTTTCCTATGCAAGAAAATGTTTTTGTTTGTGTTTTAAAACAAACATTATATCCTATTGTTTTCACCCTTAATTACCATGGTATATGGCATATTCTACATGTCTATATTTTGATTTTATATTTATGTTTATTTTATTTTTCATATGAAATAAAACAGATTTATGAATTAAAAAATTATTAGCAATGGCAGAAGGACATTGTGACTCTGTCATGAAATACTATGAAAAAGAGGTATGAGTTATCAGTGTAGAATCCTCAGTTTACTTAATGTTGCTATACTATACAACATTCTGTTAAGACATACATATAAAGCTATTTCTAATTCTGTTACAATTCTTACCCAGAGATGCCTGAACAGACATTGAAGAGTACAGCGCTTGTAGTAATGTTCTATGCAGGCAGGGCAGCTTGTGCACACATCTCAGTGTGCTCTTCAGACTCCCAAGTCTGCCTAGAGACAGATGGCAGCAGTGCACAAGGCAGCCCTCACTGGCTGACCCAGACTGCTTGGAATCAGCCTGTGTACAGATGTTTGCTCTCCCAGGATGAACTTTCCTGGGAGTGGGTTGTTCCCAGGTTATTTTTCTCCTGAAGCAGCTATTTTTACCCTGGAAGAAAAATCCTGAACATCTGTACATTCATAATTTCTTGAGGAAGAGCAGTAACTCTCCCAGGAGAAATGGAATGTCTGTACACGGCCTAACATTATGTAGTGCAGCAGAAGTATGTTTGTCTTTCTGTACTCTACTGATATAGTTACATTTTTCAAAAGATCATCACCACATAAAGTACTGCAAACAACTATAATTCTCAAAAGAACTTCATATTACCACGTATCTCAATGGTTAGGTTCCTTTCCATGAACTTGTAAAAGGATGAAGAGTGAAATTTTCAGTTTCAGAAATTTCTTAGGAAGTTATTTTCAAAATTGACCTAAGCTCCAAACAATCTAGGGAGTATATGATTCATATGAGATTCATGCTTATCCTAAGTCACTTTTGAAAAGTGGACTCAGTCTCCTAAGTGCCTGTGGTGGTTCTAATAATTTTGTTCCAAAAATAAAATGACTTATTAGCAGCTATGTTCCTTGAGATGTATTGTCCACTGTGGATAAGTCTCATGCCTTGATATTTGATTGGACACTTTTTGCCTTGGTAGTTTCCACAGATTGCACTACAGCCATCCCTGCCCTTCTCTCCCTCTTACTCCATAGTTTAAAGGGAAGTTTGCACATTCTGTTTTTCAGTTCCCTCTCAGCTGCAGAGGAGAGAACAAGGAGGAGAAGATGCAAATGTGAATGTGGACAATACATCTCAAAGAATTCTAGTTACTCATAAGTAGTTTCCTTTCTCCTTTAAGAAACTGTCTACATATACATTTACACCATAGATCACCAAATTAACAAATTTACCACTGAGTACAATTTAACAGCCTACTAAGAAAAACCAAAAAGGTTCCAGGACTAATAAAAAAAAGAAAAACAAGCTGAGAGAGCAAGATGTGTGTGAGCTTTTATAGGGACATGACTTTTTTGCGATATCTTCTATTGAACCAACTGTACACTTGGAAGAGCTATTGGACATACTTCTAGGCATCAGGTACCTTTCCTCAGGTCTGAATTTTTATAGACATCATCTCTGTATTATCCAGTACACATATCAAGGCATAAAACACAAAAGTATAATAACTTCTTTTAGTAGTCTTGGTTTTACGAAGTAGAGAATAAAGGCACAAAGAATCTGATGAAGAAATTTCATGAAAAAGGAGAATAAACTGTTCAGATAAGGCAAATATTTCTTTCTTAGGTAATACATACCAAGTTGGCCATCACTATGGTATCAACCATAACAGGATTACTCTTCATGCCTAGTGTGAACTGTAAGCCCTGAGGAGGTTGTCCCGTAGTCATATCAAAGCAATGTCCTTCAAGTAATAGATATTCCAGTTCATATTCTGCTGTAACAATTCCTTCTATCTGTGGAAATCAATATTTTATCACTACAATATCTGGCATTTTAATCTCTTAAAATGAAGCAAATATAATGTAATAGTAACCATTAGGCCTGTGCAAAGCGATAAGTATTTGCTTCAGGTTCAGATTCAGCCAATTCAGAGGACAGTGGTTCATTTCAGAGATTCAAATTACTGTCCCGATTTGATTCGGCTGAATCAGATCCAAAAGATTTGGCACCACTTCAGGAGATTCAGCCATAGACTAAACAGGCAGCTGACACAGCTGCCTCCAGCTGGTAAGTCTGCTGGGGTTGGGAAGGAGCATATATAAGGAGGAGGGAAGGACTGGGGCTGGGACAAGTTTCCCGGCTGGGGCAAGGGGGTGCAGGGGTGTGGGATGTAGGCATGGCAGTGCTTGGAGCGAGGGCTCTGCCTTTCTGCCGCTTGTCCAGCCAGGGTGGGATGCAGGCATGGCTTGTTCCGGGCAGATGGGGGCAAGAGACAACAGGGCATAACCCCCACTCCCAGCGCTGCTGCACCCACATACTGCACCTCTCTTTGCCAGCTGGCAAGTGACTCTAGAGCAGAGTCCCTGTTCCCAGTGCTGATGTGGGCACAGCAGCGCTGGTAGCAGGGGCTATGCCCTGCTGCTACTT